GTCAACCCCAAACCAGTTGCAAAAGTTGTCACATTAAAATCACACCTTTGGAGATATATATTTATTGTTGTTGCTGTTGCTGCTGCTGCTGCTGCTGCACCACTTTGGCATATAACTCGTTCGAGATACAACTACAACTGCAGATTCCGATGCAGATGCAGATACACCCTCTCGACGAAGTGGTTGCATGCAAATTATACACGTAGAGGAAGTCGGGATCTCTCGACTGGTCATTAACTCAACTAGGAGTTGCTGCAACGGATATGTTTATGGCCAACTGATTGAATTTCATCCTAACACACACACACACTAAGTTGCAGCAATTATGCGCACAACGACTTTCCTTTTTCCCCCGCCAAAAACTAACCATATTCATATTTTTCCTGGAACTCCATAGATAGATATTTAGATAATTCTAACGCTGAGACCTCTTTGGCACACGTGTTGGCCAAATGTTTTCGGTTCCTCACATCATTAGCGTATTGCCCGAGGGTTTGCCCCTGTAGTTCGGTTAGCTGGAATCCATAAACCATATACATATTCCCAAAAGAAACCCAAATTTATTGTTTCTGGCTTCTCCCTTGTAATTTCTGCATGTTAAATGATTACAAATTGGTCATTTGATATCACAACATTTTGGCATTCGTGTCGAGATCGCACTTTCCCAGCCAGCGGCAAAACGAAAGCGCTTAAAAGATCGCCCGCTTACTTGTGGATTTACCAACAATTTCAAATATTTCCTATAGAAAAATGTCAACATATGCGCATTGCAATGACAGGCCAGCCAGTCAGTCTTTTGGCCAGCGCTTGGAGAGCCAATGCAATACAAATCCACAATCCAGCCAAGTCAGCCATGGCCCGCAGCCCCAATCAAAGCCAAAAAGCTTTCAGGCCAAAAGGCTGCCGCCATCGCAGACATGGAAAAGCCACTCGCCGATTTCATGAGATTTTCAACAGTTTTTTCCTTATTTATTTCGTATTTTTATATTTTTAACTACACTAGCTGGGATCCATTAACTACCCAAAGAACTCGGGCATATTATAATTATTCTAATGAATAAACCTATCTTAGATAGATATGGATTTGGAATAGGGTTCTCAACTTTTGTTTTTAACTTTTTCAAAAAGTTGTTAAATAAACTAAATTTAACTTTTCTCTTCTCACCAGTTCGTTCTTATATTGATACCAAAATGTACTTACACGGTTTTAAGAACGAATGTTCTCAAATCAAGAACAATGTTCTCAATTCAAGAACAATGTTCTTAATTCAAGAACAATGTTCTTAGACAGTTTTCTCTGTGTACTTATGTTTTTACTCTTCCTTGTATATTATGGTTAATTCTACCCAGACCCTAAACAAACATTAACATTATTAAAGGCATGTCAGGTACATGCTTATCGAAATAAAAAATGTGAACTACTTTTAACAATCCTTAAAAAATTAGTATAACAATCTTTAAATAATAGATATATCAATCTTCAGAAAATATAAACCATTGAATATCTGCAAAAGACTTACTTAATGGTAAAGCTATTTTATATTTTAACAATTCCTAAGAATGTTTAGTTATATTAGGGAAGTAGGGTCCTCAAGTGTGCTCCTTTTACCCAGCATTCCCAGAGTATTTCCAGTTCGTCATTTTCCTCCGGCTAATCGACTTTCCTTTCTTGTCCGCAACTTTTATTGTATGTCTCCCTCCGCTGTGTGAGTGCGGGTATTTATGTGTCTGTTTGTATGATTTCATAGCTCTTGCAACAGTGCAATCAGCAAATACTAAAATGCAATGCGACGTATTTTTTATTATTTATTTTTTCCTTTATTTTCATTTTTCTTTGCTTGGCCTGGCAGCCAAAGCTCGCCGCGAATCGTGGCCAAGAGAGTTGCAGTCTTACGGTCTTACAGTCTTACAGTCTTACAGTCCCACAGTCTCTCACGCCACAAGCGACAGTTTTGTATTAGAAACGGCAACTTGTAGCTGCAGCTAGTTACGAGCTTGACGATTACCTGGCCAAGAGAGGGGGGCCAGAAGGGGGAGGGGCTACAGGTGGGCAGGGGACAGAGGGAGGCAGCTGGAATGTTGTTTCTAGTTGCTAGTTGGCCATGTTGCCGAGTGACTGACATAGTTGCTGGTTCGCAATTGTTGCTGCTTGTCGCAGGGCATTTGCAGGCTGAACTTTAAAATTAAATTTGTTAAACAATTTATGTGTAGCATATTAGATGGCTAAAAAAAAAGCAAAGCTGATAGACAAGCTATGCGGGCGTCTTTTGGTTATGCGGGCCATCCAGAGATACTTTACAGGAACCTGTTTCGCTCTCTTTTTTCCAGTGAAAAGTGTGGCCAAGAGTAGTCAGGGAATCGGAGACAAAACGGTGCTTTTCTCTTGCACTTATCACTCGATCATGGCCATCTTTCTCTCTCTCTCTCTTTCGCTTTAATGAAATGTAATTTGAAAAATTGCGCGCGGCAAATTGTTGGCTTCTTGTTAGAGAGACCTCGTTGTCTTGCACAGAATTTCAAATATTTTGTCTTAATTAAAATTTTCCTGATCTCTCTGTCTCTTTTCGGGGGATATCTATGTGTTGTACGTCCATCTGTAACCGAAAAGTCGGGCAAAGCTTTTAGATAAATTAACTCTGACATTTGGTCCGTCAAGCATTTGTCGCTTTTTTGCATTCGCTCGACATTTTTATTGGACTTTGACTTGGCCTGGATTTATGTTGGATCCCGGGGATTGGGGACTGGAGATCTGGTGATCTTGGGGATCTGGGGATTAGCCGTGGTGCCATCATTCACGTCCGCAATTGTGTTGGCCCCGTCAACGTCAGCGAGTGCTTTCTGGTGCTCCTGGAACAGCATGTAATTTGCAATGAGCTCGCCTCGTTTCTGGGTCTCATTTTGTGATTTATTTGGCCCAAGCCTTGCTGGCTGTTTAATTTCAGCTTAAGCCTCGCTTTGCCCACACTGGCTGCCAAAAGTTATTTTTCGGGTGCCCGAAACAAAAGACTCAGGCAACGAACTGGTTCGCTTGGAATTCGAATTATGCTGGGATTGGAGTGGATGAGTTGCTGCCCAAGAATCTGCCTTGATTGATGACAGAGTCTCAATGTTTCAATCGCCGCGGCTTCTCTTCACGGTTCTGCCGGTGTTCACGGTTCATTATATAAGATTCGGTTTAATTAGTTCGACTAAAATCCGCGCGTTCTTCTTTAATGGCTTGGGGGAAATTTTTTAGTTACAGATAATGACGAAAGAAATGGCACAGAACCATTAAAGAAATTTCACAAAAAAGCTAGAGAGCAGCCAAGACCAATTTTGATGGATAGAGCGTGGACGTCAAGAAATCAATTTATATATATATATATATTTGGTTTTTTTTTTTGCGCACTATCAGATCAATCAGCGCTGAACAAAAAATGAGCGATGGCAAAGTGGAAATCTAAACGAGTTTTTCCACAGTCACTGAGCAGGCAGCTTCCTGAGAAAGTTTTTTGCCTAAGTAATTGAGATTGCAGAATCTACAAATTGATACAAAATTCCAATAATTTACAGTTAGCGGTGCAGAGATATATCCGCCGATATCGCATAGCTCGAAGTCAGGCTGAATGCTCTAATTAATTCCCCAACCACAAAGAATCTTCGTTCGTTCCATTCAGTACTTTCTACCAGATCAATCTCTTTCTTTCTTGAACTTCCCATCTGCAAACTATTCATCTGGAGCCTTTATTATAATGAATGCTTATTTATGCATGCATAGGCAAATATATAGCCCATTGCTGAAAACGCCGCCCATACATATTTAATAAATACGAACACATTCTCCTACCTTTCTTCTGTTTTTTGTTTTGCGAAACATTTCAAATTCTTTGTGAACTGTGTCAACTTTCAATTCTTTTCATCGCCTATTTGCATAGAGACAACAGAAACACGAGAAGCTCGGCGAATCGGAGTTCATTTAACTTGGGTGAACGGTTAGCCAAGTTCAGCTGTTGTTACGCCAAATTAAATGTGTTAAAATAAATATTTAAGCAGAGCCTAATTGCTGCAGAATGAATAAATTTACGGAATTTTATAGGTAGGCCAACAAGCGGGTAGGCCAGCTTTCGGATGATGGTAGCCCAGCTTAATGGGTTATTAAGTAAAAAATATTCCCGCATTAAATTAGCCGATGAATACAAATAATGTTTTAATAGAATTTATCTCGTCAACTTATCGCTTTTTATAGGGTATTTAACGTGAGGCATTCCCTTGTCCTATTAATTCACCTATAAAAGCTGGTTAACATTCATACCTTTCGCATATATCAACCTACAAGTGAGTCCCACATAAATCATGCTGTTAAAATGGCTATATCTCGGCGTGATCTTAATTGTTTTTACACCTCCCATCAGCAGTCGTAAGTTGAGCTGTTTAAAATATTTTAATAATTAATTATTAAACCCGTTGTTCCTATTTAATTAAGGTAAGGCAATCTGCCTTTTGCCGAAAAATACTGGGTTTGGTAGAACTTGCAGTAATCGTTGGTACTTCGACAGTAAGGAGAAACTTTGCCGGCCATTCCGGTTTTTTGGGAATAGATATAATGGAAATAACTTTGCAAGCTGGAGGCAATGCAGAATAAATTGTTTCTAAAATATATTTATAGTAAAATATATATTTAAAGTATTACATTTCAGAAATATTTTTTCCTATAAAAGAATTCAAGTTGTAACCATTAATTTATAATAATGGAATTTTTAAATTAAGAAAAAAAGTGTATTAATTTGTGTTAGTTGTTACCATTTTATAGCAATTTTTCTTTTATTATTTTTCTTATACCCAAAAAAGGTAGATCAAATATAAGCAGATGATTTAAAACTAACAAAATATTTGTTCATCTTCAACAATTAAGTTTGTTTTGCCCCACCTGATTTAATATCGCTGGGTAGTTGGGAAGTAATCGCTGATGGTATAAAAGCTATCAGTAGCTATTAATTCTAGATAGTTTAATTTGTTTCATCATGCTGTTGAAGATTTCGTTGAAAAAATACTGTTTTGGTAAAACCCATCTTAAATTTTACCTGCGCAGTTGGTTCTACAACTCCACAGCCCAGAGATGTCAAAAGTTCATCTTCTTAGGCGGTGCGCGGAATGGCAATAATTTTAATAGCCAAGCTCGGTGTCGCAAAATTTGCCTAGCGCAAGTGCCTCTACCAATTAATTTTTCCTTCACTGATGATGGCGTTTAAAAAGAACAAAGATTTGAATCAAATACAAAGTAATAAATGAGACTTAAATAAGTTAAGGCAAGTCGGGCTAATTGCATTTTGTGTGAAATCGCTGAGAAAATCAAGTTGAAGCTGCGCCCATTTTTTGTACCGCTGGCATGCGCAAGAAATATTTCTTATGACTTTTAAATGTAATTTTATAAATTTTATTTTTTTCTTGGCAAAACTTGTCAGCGCCACCCACTTTCTAGGCAGCGCCGGCTTAAACTCCGAGTGGGTGTCTATTTGCCTAGGAGGTGTTAGGCGGGTGCGCTGACAATCCAATGGAACCGCAGCAACAACTGCAATAGCAACAGCAACAGCAATTGCAACCACAGCAGCAACATCAACGTTTTGCTAAATCAAAATTGACACTATGCAAAAGCCAGCCCACTGAAAACGGTAGCCACACACACAGAACCACATGGCTTTGGGCCAAGACTTGGGGCCAGGCGCTCAGCATGCCGAGCCATGGAGGCCAAAAGGTGCCCGCTGTCCATGGCGCCAAGATGTTGCTGCTGTGCTGTTGTTGTTGCCACTCGGCGTTAGATTTCAACCATGTGCAGACAACGGTCGCCACACACAAACGCTGAAAATAGCAGTTATTAGTTTGACACAGCGCACAGTGTGACCAATGGGATTTATGAAGAGATTTGTGGGGAAAAGTAATCACTGAGGTATTTTAAAATTAGTTACACCTATGCATTGAAAAGAGTGATTATTTTCTACAAAATTAAAAAATCTAAGCATTTTCAAATGTAATGTTAAAATAATCAATTTGTTATTTTGACTCAGTAAATAGTGTGACCAAAAGGACTTATGAAGAGACAGGTTAGGAAAATTAATCGCAGTCGGAAATGAATTTTTTACTTAAGGAGATAAAGAAAGAGTTCAAATCACTATAAATTACTTAAATACAAAACATTACATAACAATTATTTAAGTTTCATAGAGATATCTCCATTATATTCCTCTCATCACTTATAGCTTTTTCCTCTGCTCCAATATTAATGTCTTAAAAGGTTAGCCGGATATATAACTCTAAAAGCTGAAGTATGGCTTATTAATTCTGCTTAATGGTATTACTCTTGGTAATTTTTCATATTTTTATCTCATGACTTTAACGATCTCTCCCCAATGTGCCCAAGTAGTCTTGCCATGTTTGAGTGCACCGTGGGCACCAGCATGGCGACATTTGCTCATTAAGCATATTAAATAATTAGTACTTGTTGTTGTCATATTTTATGTGCTCGTTTGTGTGCTCGTTGAGTCCACTTGAAGAGGCTTGGCTTGGCCAGGGAAATATGGACAGACACGTAAAGATAGAGATAGGAACTTCGACTTAGATCGAGATAGATACAGGCCGCTGGACCAGTTTCTAATAGATGTCCGGCAAGCGCTTGGCCTTTGCTGGATTTCTTATAATTTTTATTTGCCCAATAAAAATTGTGAAATATATATGCGGCTTAATTGAACATTGAATTGATTGAGCCACTTGACAGATATGAAGGTAATCCGTGCTATTAATTCAACTCAGAGGACATGCAAATATAATGGTTAATAAAAATGAAGCGATTATATTCATTTAAAATAAATCGAATGTAGAGAAATATATTCACGCATCGTAAATACTTAGCCAATAACAAAATAATGATTCTGAAGGTAAACCGGGTTATTAATATAATTGTAAGAAAAATGGAACCATTTAATAAAAGTATATCTAATGTATTAGGCATTTAAATTAGGTAAATGTGGATTTTGGATTTTAAAAAAAGTACTACACTCAAGCATGGTGAATTCTCAGATAAATTTAAATATAAACGTGAGAAAAATAAAGTATTAAATGCATTAGATATAAACCGCTTTAATTTACTAACCATATTCCTTAAAGCGCGTATACCATAACATTTATTTGAGACTAAACGTAGATAAATGTATTCAGAAATCGTGAATGCTCATTCAATAATATTAAAATGTATTCCCGATAAAGAAAACTTTCTCCTTTACTTTCTTGGACAGTGCCTAAATCCTAATCTTGGCCCAAAGTGTTGGGCAACAAGAACTTTACAAGCTCCGTGGGTTGTTTACAGCATCTAATGCGTTACTAATGATATTTCAGCCCTTCAGCCCCGAAGACAGAGAATAAAACAAACATAATGAATTAGATTTGCATGTAAATTTATGCAAATTCCATGCTGTGTTGCCCAATGAACCATTTGACACTTTTGTCCACACACCGAGCGTGCTTTATTAATTATTTATTGTCCAACTATTGTGAATTATGGCCATGGTCTAGGAAAAAATCAAATGCCTCTCGAGTGGATTGGGTTGGATTGGAGTGGAGTGGATTGGATTGGGTTGAAGTGGACTGGAGTGAAGTGATCTCTGGCTGGGAGCATTTTCCTTTCTTTCTTCTTGGGAGATTTTCGTTGGGGTTTCGAACCAGTTGAGCGACATTCCATATGAGGCGCGACAGACGGCGACTTCACTTCACATCGGATTCAGATTCAGATTCCAATTCCGATTCAGATTCGGTTTGGGTTTGGTTTTGGTTTTGGTTTTCGGTTTGGTTTCAGTTTCGGAGATGCTAAGATTAATCAGCTGCCATAAGCCAAATGACAAGACATATTTCTGTCGGTTCTCCAAATGTGCTAGAGCCTCGGTGTTATTATTGCTGCCTATTTGTGTTTATTTATGGCAAGGCCAGCAAAAGATACAACACAAAAAATCGAAAATTAATTTCAAATTTGATTACAATAAAAATAAAGCCAGGCTTTTGAGTAGCTTTTGATTTACTCGTCTCAAAGTATGCCCCTCATTTTTTTGTTTCATCCATGTAGGTGTGCCCCGAAAAACGCGGCCCCACCCAGAAATGCCACGAAAATTTGAAATAAATTTATAGTTTTCTATTTAGATGGCTTAGCTGGCCGAGTAAATTATGCAAAGCTAAAGACAAAGCCGATTGGCAGAGAACGGTTATGGCTTCTGCCCAAGATCTCTTGTTCCCAACTTGCCGAATTGGGTTACTTTCGGCTTAATTTGAGGTCTTAAGGTTAGGCCAAATTGCGGATGGCCACAAGCCAGCCCACGCCTTCTGCGGCCTCATCCTCATCCTCTTCCTCATCCCAAAAACCAAAATCCCAGCCAAACTGGTTCCGGGTTTCAGCAACAATGAATGGAGCAGCCAGTCGCGGCTCAATGGAAATGACAGCATACGTGTGGCCAAATAAAAGATATAGGGGTACCCCTGTACCCCTACACATATTTATAAGACGGCCCAAAAAAAAAGCTAACCAATGATTTGTTCGGAGCGTGGGCGATCCCCTTATTAATTGTAAAAATATATACGTGCGCAAAACGATTTGTTTGCCAACAACCGAACCACCGATGATAATTCCAACAATCCCCAACTCATTTCACCCACAAGTCGAATGCTGGATTTGAAAGGTCAACTGCAGTAAAGTTTCTACGGAGGAGTGGTTCGCTTAGAAGAAACTATATATATATGTATTTACATTTTATGACTCCCAGTTATGACTCTCCATCGGCCCCGCTTTTTCTCTAATAATTGCGAATGGCATGCAGACCCACAAAAGGCTACCCACACACATCCACCAGACATTCCGTGTTCCCATGGCCATCGCAGATTTGAATTCCATTTACAGAACGGAGACAAGCGATAAACTTTTTGGAGCTTTTTGGGATAAATGGTATTTGATGTTTCATAATTAATACAAATTAATTGCGAATTGTCATTCATTTTATTGGAGTTTTAAAAGGTTGTTGAACATAAAAAACTTAAAATGGGTTGTCTTTTTTCAAGCAGGGTTATTCAGTCCTCAGAAATTAAAAAGATAATATCATTTTACCTTTTTTTAACACAGAAAATATATCATGAAAATATTTAGAATTTTTATTAATTTATTTTCTAGGTATGTTTTATCAAGAACTTTCTTCAGAGTAACTTAATCAAATTACAAACTGTTTAAAAAGCAAAAAATTTAAATTTAGGCACTACAATTACAAATCTTATTTAAAACATGAACTTAAGATCTCTTATTAAAACTCCACTAAATTTTATGTTTTTTTTTACAGACTTTCGCGCCATTCTAGAGGCCTCTAGCTGAGACAAAAATCCGCCAAAGAGGTCCAATTATGTCTCATAAGACGAGCAGCCGTCGCAGCAGCGACCTGGAGTGTCCACTAGCCTCCTTGGGCCGCAACAGCAATGCGGTGCGCGACCACTACCACCATCCGCATCCGCTGAGCTCCAGTCCACTGGATCCGCAGGCCTACAAGATGATGTCCCGCAAGTCACCCAATCCCGGCATGGATGTGGGCGAGGCGACCAGCGACCAGGCGGCGGCATCTTCGACGGTGCTCCACATGGTGCAACAGAAGGCGGCGACCTTCGAGCTCAGAGGTCGCCACTCGCGACCGGAACAGGCCAGCACCTATGGAGCCCATTCCACGGCTTCTGTGGGCAGGCATGCGAAGAAATCACCCGAACTGCCAGCTCCAGCCTCCAGAAAACCAGTGGCCCCTGTGCCCCAGCCCAGGAACTTCCTCACCTTGGAGCACGTCCTGCAATTCGGTGCCCAACGACCCAGTTGGATGCACGGGAACAGTGCGGACACCGAGGATTCCAGTGACAACAATGCGGGTGGCGGAGGAACAGGAAGTGGAGGAGGCAGTGGAGGTGGAGCAGCTGGTGGAGGAAGAAGACGAAATCAAGGTGGCCGATGCAGTGTACCCACTGTGCTGAGCAGCAATGGCGCCAGCAGCAATGGAGGCCAGTACCTGCTGGACAAGAAGATGGAGTCCCTTTATCTGGGCAACGCACTGCGAGCTCTGCCCTTGGGAGCTGAGGCGAGTCAGTACCAAAACGAGCGCTACTACCTGGAGGACTACAGCAGTGGCAGCGGGAATGAGCGCCTACCAGGTGGGTGGTCCTTCCAGATTTATGATTCAGTAGTGATAATAAATGAAGATATTCTTACACGTTGAAAGTCGTCTGAAGAATACGCGGTGTTTATAGCCTTGCGT